CCATTACAATAAGTAAATGTTTATATTGAGAAATGTTGACAAGAATAATTATTCATAAATAGCTTATCTGTCAAAACATACACCGCAAATAACATCTTTTAATTGGTTTGGCGATGCTTGGTTTCTAAGCAACAGAAGTGTGACTCCCAATGTGATGTTTGGCAACTCTAGACTGAGAAGTGAAAAAAAGAGAAAAAGAAACAGACTACCTTAATGAGCAAGGCCGAAGTGAAGGATTGCACAGGACACGATGTCTTAGTATATTTAATCGGCTGAGTTATATTATGTTAAAAGATGATGGGCGCTAATTACATCTTCTTTTTGTTTGTAAAAGGAATTAAGTTGTTGATTCGTTCCATTAAGGCCATTTGCATTTCTTCTGGGGATTCAAATTATGTTTTAATTACTTGTAGGTGAAGCCTGGGCAGACTGAAGTGGCAAATTAAATTAAGTGCCAGCTTCATTGACATATTACTTTGGTAACTTTTTACTATTCACAACCACGCCAACAAGACAAAACAACATTTAGATACATGTAATGGAGGATTATGTTATTAAATTAATTCAGAGGATGTAGTCATGGTAGAATATTGAACAAATGCTAAGTTGTGTTATTGTGTTTTTAAACAAATGCAGAACATAAAGAAAAACAGGAATGCTGTAGTGACAAAAACTAACACTGGTACAAAAATGTATCCATAAAAGACACCAAGGCCGAACGGGAGGATTTTAGGAACACAGTGTAAAATGTCAGTGGATAGAAACAGACAGGAAATCAGTCATTAATGGGTCTGGATGGCCTAAATATTGACCAAACTATGATCTGTTTTTATTATATGTCACTGTAAATTGTGTCACAATTAAATATCAATCATAATGTATTAGGCAAAAGGAGAAATTCAATTTGTCAGCTGGACAAAAGTTGATTTGGTCGAACACATTTCACAGCTCATCCAAGCTGCTTCTTCATTTCTGGTCAGACGCTGGTGGACACTTCCTTATATCTGAAGGGAGAAGGGAGGAGCTAACTATAATGAAACTACTTTGAAACTAACACACCTACTTGTTTACAGTTTCTGTTAGCTAGGCCTATTGAACAGCTCTGAGTGTGGGGTCTTATTAACATAATCATTCAGGGCCATAATGGTGCTTTCACACTTCTGGACCTGACTTGAATATCCCTATTGTTTAGGTACATAATGCATCAGTCTTATAGCCCTTTTCTCACTGCATTATTACACCACTCCTCAGTCACATTCAATAGTGTAAACATAGGCTTTGTCTATAGCATGTCCCACTGGACACTAATCACACTAGAGAGTATTGCCCAAGAACACAACAACAATATTTCTTGCAGAAGGAACAGAACCACCAAGAACCAACCTTTCAGTTACTCCCACAATCTAATCTGTACTGGCAGCACTTTTTCCTGTCATGATCGTCATTTTGAGGATTTACACATTAGTTTGAAAGGAAATGTTGATATGACAAAGCTCCCATGCAAGTGTGGCAGTAGTGTGGAGTAACATGTGTGTCAATATTTTAAATCTAAAACCACATAGCGTAAAGCTTCTTAGTGGAGAGGACCCCATTACTGTACTAGCTGATGGGTTACAAGGTTAGAGCTGCCAGGAAACAGGAGGTCTATATTAAAGACTAAAGAGTTGAAGTGAGTTGTGAGAAAAGAGTATACGGTGGATAGGGTCAAATGGAGGGTTTTGGTAAATAAATGCTTTATATCCCAACAAGGTTTGCCCTTATTTTGAAATAAAACAGATAAGCCACATAACATCTTCCAGTGCACTGTTCCCAATGTTTAGTGGTCCATATTAGTGCGCCTGGATGAAAAGTGAGGATATTTAGAGTTTCTACACAAAGAGGAGAAAGGAGGTCAAAGCAGAAATAAAGTGAACGTGGTGGAGATGGGACAGTAAGGCAGAGACAGAGTGTGGAGAATACACAGAGGCTGGCTGATGTGGTTCTTAAGCAGGTCATTGGCTGCACTGTGCTTTGGGAAGCCTTGTTTAAGCATGGATAACAGATTTCCTCAGTCCCCCCAGGGAGCTGCAGCCCAGAGAAGCAGGGACACATCAGGCGCATGACAAGCAAATGGAGCTCACAGTCTGCAGGCCCATAGAGGAGGGAGGGGGACTGTATTACCCACGGACACGCCACTTTAGCTATTCACAAAACGACAGGGACGGAGCTAAAATTGCACCATTCGACTGATATGTTCTCACTCTCTGCACTATCAGGTCAGGAAACTGGGACGTATCAACCTATGAAGTATAATATTCAAGGGTTCGCTACTGTTCAAATATTATCTTGTTTTAGTGTCATTTTGGGACACTGAATTGTTGTAATAAAGACATTTTTGGAAGCTTAGTTGTAATGTAAATGTATGTGAATCAGCTATTCTCTCCCTGGGACCCCTCAGGCTAATGTTCTCAGCCTGAAGTTATGCCTCAGGTCTCTTCTCACTCAGTAAACACAAATCAGGAGTTTGACAAGGCACAGCTGGCTCCTCCACACTGTTACTTTGTGTACTGGGAAAATGAGGCACCCTGCAGTGCTGGACAACACTTCATTCAACTCTATTTAAGTATATATATATTTTTTTTAGAAACAGTTATTTATGTTGTTTGCAGTTTCTAAAACATCATCATATTTTGGAGTAAGATCTGAAATATATGTCAATCCACAAATGTCAGAATAAAGTGTAAATAGTATGTGCATCTCTAGAAGTAAAAACTAAATGACACATTGTATATTATATTAAATATTCTATTACACAAAATTGACTCTCGTGATTGTTTTTGTTTTATTCACACATGTTTGAGTAATCCTTCATTATTAGTGCATCCTCCAAACCTCAAAATGCATTTTTCTTCCTTGGCATGTCATGGAGTGGAAGTTTTCAAGTTAGCAGCCACCTTAAAACACAACTCTGGGTATGTTTGTAATGGGGAAACAATATTATATCAAATAATCAGAAAATACTGTAATATGGTTACTTTAATAAAGTAACACAAGCTCTATGACAGTTAGCACTGTTGCCTCACAACACATATATTTCCAACTGAATGTGTTTTGTTTTTTCACATAAAACATGCACAAAAGGTTGATCAGCAGCTAGACACTTCTGACCATGTGTACTACCCAAGATCTGGGTCTCCAGGCACCTTAGCTGACAGGTTTCTGCAGTGACATTGAAGGATCTCCACTGAAGATTAATGCAATGGAGCTATTTCCCTACAGGGACAATATAGTATACTTTTATTTCCAGTAGTAACTACAAATGATTTTGCACTTGTAATATTTTAAGTAATGAGTAGTACTAACAATGGAAGCAGTAGTAGCAAAAGTAGTGAGCAGTATCAGTTGTACAGTACTTAAACCGTGTGTCTGTGTCATAAGAGAAGTAGTAATAGTAGATCCAGCATTTGCAGTGTGGAAAAGTTCAAATCAAAATTGTTGTTGCTCTTGAAGTGGTAGTTGATTGTATATTTCCCTCTCCAAATAATGACTTTGACCATTTCTAAAAGTTCATTTCAACAAATTTCATTATTAGTAATATTAGCAAATTCACTCCTGGCTCACTGTGATGGTTATTTCTGCAGACCCACCCCAGGCCTCTTAGTTTCTGATGAGTGTAAAGTCTGGTTTCTGTCTGTGATCCTGGCTTCAGTGGAGCTCTGAAGTGGCGGTCTCTGTGTGATGCTGTGCCACAGTGTCTGGCCTCCCCCTGAGCCCCCTCCAGCTGCACACGCCTGCTCCTTCTACACACTCCACTGGTCTACTCCTCACTGCAGCAGCACAAATATTCCCTTTGACTGTACACGACAAGCCAAGTACAGGCCCAGGTCAGTGTGACATCACCTGAAGTCCACAGGTACATATGTTTCCACCAGACATCCATCTACAGTACAGCTTCGTAATGGCAATATTTGTATTGCATGTATATATAACGCTTCTTCTGGTGTGAGGTATCATAGAGATGGTGCAGAGTGGGGCTAGTATTCATCATTCAAAACTTAATCCTAATTTTCAATGCAAACTGCATTTGTGAATTTATTTAATCTTGAGAACTCAACTATGTGTCCTCATTTAATACGATAAACTTCAACAATGTGTGTAATCAATTAAAAATGTATTAAAAACCATAAAGCCGCAACAATCCTTACTCTGGTGGGAGATAGCTAATCCAGCATGAACAGAAATGCACTGTGGGTGATTTGTGGAAAAGCAAGAGGATATAAATGGTGCATCCTTGATTGATTAGTCAAAAGAGAAGAGAGACTGAACAATCTGATGTGATAGTGAAGATTCTTGAAATTGGTTAAAAGAAAGTCATTGCAAAAAGGCAAAAAGATGTAAAACCACTTTTCACATAAATACGAAGGTATGGAAACAAACACTACAGAAAGTAATTATCATTCATCTTGTAGCGACAATTTTAGTCTTAACCTCTTGTCGTTTCTGGATGCAGGAGATCCAGGCATTACGCGCTTCAGAATCCAGGTTGGGATAGGCTAAAGGTTTGGGGGGATTCTGATTTACGATGATGGTAATAGACCAAGACCCGCTACATTAAAGGACAGAAAGAACTGGGGTGGTGGATGTTCAATAATATGAAAAAAATGAATAGAAGAGGCTAGATAGAGCGGTAAAAAACGTGTGACCTCCTGTCCCCCATACACCCAGTACAGAGGCACCTGTGTGTTCATATAGATTTGACTCCACCCTGTCCCCTTGTGGCTAAGTGAAATATAGGTCATCCTGTGCTCAGACATAAATAGTGACCCAAATGAACCCCAACCCAAATGAAACAAGAATGGCTCCTACACATTTAATTAGGCAAACTAAGATGTTTATATACTTTCTTGTAACATTTGGTTAAAATGAGGCTTGTCCCAGATGAGTCACTAACTGTCTGGCTGTGGCAGAGGCACTGTCTAAGGTGTCAAGCCTTTTCTAAAGAAGATTGTTTGAACACTCACCCCAGAGGTTTCTCCAGGCGACTGGCTGGTGAGCCCACGATCTCTCCCAGAGTACAGAAGACCTGGCCCAGGAAGTCCTGCGGGGGAGGGGGCAGGGACCACAGAGAGGGGCCGTTCAGGTGGGGGTAGAGGAGAGTCGGTAAGGGTTTAGCCCGGTCAACAGCATTATACGCTAATGTAATAAGTGCAGCACGTACGTTAAAGTCGGTTGGCTTCCAGGAGGAGGAGGAAGAATAAGACCAGGCAGCAGCAGTGACACAACAAGAGCAAGTCATGGAACAGAAGGCACACCACTCAGAAACTGGACTTCATCAAACCAGTGCAAAGAACAGAGAGAGTGGAGAATATGGAGCAGAGAGAAGAGCAGCAGGGACAGAGCCAGAGCTCCAGACCAGAGGGGGCTCAGGGCAGTGCCATGGAGTTAAAGCAGCACATCACACAAGCAAAACTATAGTGCACATTTGGCTGTGTGCAAGCCACATGGTTTAAACTCTTCAATAGATTAGCAAAGTTTTTATTGAAGGCCACATCTCAACATACATTCATTGGGTAGATGTATTTTTGGAAATGAGTTGATACAAAGATTAGAACTGTATATATGCATGGTATGCAATCATTGTAATATGTAATGATGAGCCATAACATTATGACCACTGACAGATAAAGGGCATTATCTTTTCATAATAGCACCTGGATGATAAATATTAGCAAGCAGGTTAAATATTGAAACTGATTGCAAAGCAGTAAAGATGCAAATGTAAGGACTGAAGGGAGTTTGACCAGGTTAAGAGTGTCCGGTGGTCATAATATACCTGTAAGTAATGGTCTACTTTAGATTGTTTTTCATCTACCCACATTGACTGAATGTATGTTTTGTGCAAATGTACTTTTTTTTCTCATCTACTGTCTTGAAACATAAAACCCAAATTAGCAGCTTCGGCAGTGCGCAGAGGGAGAAGCCGTGAAAGCTTTGATAATCATATGCAGTGGTTCGTTTCTCATTTAAAAACAATGTAATTGTGTTTGCCAGGTGCAAATGAACTCCATTATTATGACTCTGGAGGAATAGATTTGTTCATTTTATAAAATAAGCTGCGTGCCTCCCCATGAGATGTAAGCACATTTTTTCCAAATACATTTCAGTAGTTAGCTTTTGATTTTGACTTGCAAAAAACCAAAATATCAAGGACATGCACAGCTCAGTACAATCTGTGAAAGAAAGGAATTGTTTTACTTACATGTTTTCCAAGCTCTGGACTTTTAGAATCAATATCATACCTGAAATTACAATCATTGTTGTTAAAAAGAGAAAGTATAGGCAGTGGTTCTCAGGTGCATTGTGAGTACACAGTCTACCCACAGTGGAAAGCATGTCTTTTGCAGTTCTAGTCATGATTTAAATTTACTACTATTTATTATTTAGACTATTGCCTAGCCTTGTGTATGCACTGGTTTAGTCCTGTGTGTAACTGAGAAGCCTTGTTCACTTGTTCTCTTGTTCCAATTAAAGCTGAAACAAGGATAGCCAAAAGTCCTCTGGAGTGTGAATATGTGGTAGGTAGTGAATCATGTTTAAATCTCTACATACAAATGCAAAATGAACTATTTACAAACCTACTGTGTTTGAGTCTGCTATATAGTTATAATCAATGGATCATTATGTTATAATTTCAATATTTTTTATATTTTAAAATATTTGTCTAAAACAACTTAATAAAGGAAACAAGTCAGCTAACTTTCTTTTTAGAAAACTGCAGTGCTCAATGGCAGCAGACATCATCACAAACACCATCACAACAAAGAGCTGGGAAGTTGTTGGCACCCCCAATGAATAGCTGCAGATAACACTAGTGGGCAAGATAATGCAGATATTTTCATTAGAACCAAAATGATGCAATGTTGCCAAATCAAAGATTTTAAACATTTAATTGGAGAATGAGATATGTACAGAGCAGTGGGTGTATGCCAGTGGCAGAGAAAACGAGAATTAATCTGCAAAATGGCATTTTGAAAATAAGTGATTAAAGATTGCGCAGACATGCATGAATCACCCCAAACACAGCTGGTGAGTAAATGGTGAGGGGAAACAACTATAATTTTTATTACATAATAGGTGCTCTTTAAATTGTTTAGCACATGAGCCGTGGGGAGCACCAAGAACGAAGCTCTCAAAAAAAGAGGTCATTGTATAGTTTATTAATGTAATTTCTGTACGACGCCAGAGGGATTAGGACCAAACAAAAGTGTATTGCTATGAAAAAGTTTTGCAGCATCTGCCAGTCACTGCTGCAGTAGAAGTAATTAGACGCTCGCTATGCCCTGGCTCCCTCCACTGTGATAAAAGACACATGTAAATGAGCTGTGCTAATTGTGAGGGGACGTACTTCCTCCTTCCTCATTCAACTGCTGTATCATGGCGGGGTACCAAATGTATTCATTATCTGTGTGAAAGTCCTCAGAGACCTCCTGAACACATCCTGGGACTTCAAGGTAAAAAGAACAAGAAAAAATACTATATTTTGAGCCAAGTTTTTTTTTTCAATAGGGACAATATAATAAGTCCAAAATGAAAGCTGACCCTTCCCAATAGAAGAGGGCAGTGACATCTGTGGTCTCTGGAGTTTCTATGGGGCATTCTTTCATGCATTTGCGTTGCTCAGGGAGGAGATTAGGGATAAAATGTGAATGAAATATTTAGTAGCCTTATACCAATCTCCCTTACTACGAAGACCCTGTGCCAATGAATAATTCCTTAAGAAGACTAGATGGAGTGGTGACGAGAGAAGGGACGTGGAATCCTGGATAAGTGGGTTAGACAAAGAATAGTTTTGATAAGCTTGAAAAATAACTCACACGTCAAAGCGCAGATTCTGTTTTTCCTCGAAGAAGTAGTCCAAGATGTATTTTCGGACAAAGTCTGGATTCAGAGTGTTGTCGATCACCTCTGTCCGACCAAACTAGAAGAGATACGGAGAGAAGAGAGATTGTGTCATGTAGTGTTCAGTCATATTCATGTCCACTTAAAGGGTTCAGCACCCATTTTAGTATTGTGAGGAATATGTAGGTGGGCCATTCTATTTATGGTGATAGATTATCAAGGTTTCACTAGCCAAACATTGTATAGGTTCATTAAAATAAGGGTGTTATATAACCAAAACCTATGTTTGTTTTACTTGACTCTGTACTCTGGAATATCATCACACTGATTCTGGGTCAGACTGGGTGAAGTCAGGTGATTATGAGGTAACCTGAAACAGTGTTGCTCTATATTTTGTCTTAACGCAGTGAGCTGTCGGGAATGGTGAGAAGATGACAGATATGTTGTTCTCTGGTGCAGAATGCCGCTATAAAAAGAAAGGATTTGTCAGTGTCACTTGTGAGGGCTGATGAGGTGTTGTACTGATAAACAAATCAACAACCGTGGCAAAACACCACACCCCAAAATCTCACACATTAGATCAGTCTAAAACTGAATTATTCATAGAGAGAGAGGGGCATAAATAAAAGATACAGGTAGAACAGTGTTGCCATCAGATGACATGGTGCATTAATGACAGCACTGTCAAAACCTAATGAGCAGTGAGCTTTGGGAATACAGAGTCGCACCTACAGCTCACAACCACCGGGGGCATCAGGAAATGAGGGAACTCAAGTACTGCTCATATTGCATTGGATTTGTGGTAAAACAAGAGACAATACAATAGGAAAATAGAGAGATTGTCATATGCAGTTCAATAACTTCCAGATAAAAGTTTCCATTGGAAGATGTGTATCAATATTCATGTGATATTTTCATTAGAAGATGGAGAATATTGTTTTTGGGGAATACATAAGAAACAGTATTTTAACAACAGAAAATGTAAAGATGCATTATTTAACTTTTCTGACTGAGGGTCTGCCTTTTGTCTCCTCTTATTGCTTTGCCTGGAATGTTCCACAATATGGCATTCAGCTTATCAATCTGAAGGAGAGACAAGGAGTTGAGGTCACAGGGCAAACTTACAGGTCAGATGTGTGTTAAGGTGGGCTCACACTCAAGTAAGGCGGGATGTTTACCAATGTATTTTTAGCAGTAAAATGCCTGTAATTATATAAATGCAAAACATAACATAATATATGATATGATATAATAATATATTATTGCCTTGTGTGATGGGAAGCTGAATTGTAAGGGACAGTTTGAGAAGAACTCAGAGCCCTGCTCCATAAAAGTGTGTCTCAGCCTATAAAAAATTCATTGCCCCCCATTCAGCAGTTTGAGAGATAGGGCTAACCACAGACCCCCACCCAAGAATATAAATATATAAGCCCACCACACCACTATTAACTGTCAAACTCTTGGAAACAGCTGCTTAGCCAATGTAACCAAGAGGAGGCAGTCTGAAAAACTTGAATAAATTGTGAAGTTAAATGTCAAGGAATGCAGCTTGGAGTAGTAGCGTCTGGAGCAGACTGGTTTTTGAGACTATGTACTTTAGTGCTGGAGGAAGCTGTCAGCATAGCGAGAGTGGGAGATTAAGACTTTATAATGCAAGTAGAAGGATGAGAATGTCCGCGAGCCCAAAATGATGAGGAGAGAAAAATGTTTCAGATCCAGCAACCTCCAGAGACCAGATGTGAAGCTAGAGGCTGTGCTTAAAAAATAAACACTAAAAAAATATGGCATTGGCGACTATTTGGGATCAAATAAACATGTTTACAGCTCGGTTTAAGAGGTTTTCTCTACAAAGGTCAGCAGAGTGTTTATGGTTGCAGGGTAAAGCTTTGTTGATTTATATCTACAAAAATGTAACTATAACGATATACGGAATATCCTAAGATGTTAGCATCTGATTAGAGTGTGGTATTGTGAGAAAACTGGCAAACGTTTTGCTTTGGATACCCTGCCTGCCACAACCCTTGAATAAATGTGAGAAAAGCTTGTCTATTTCTCTAATTTTTATTGCATTAATTTAGCTTGTTTACAAGCTGTTGTCTTGATAAATAACTGGACTATTTTACAGCAAGTATCTTTTCCCAAATTTTTACATTGTCCTAAATAATATATTCACATACACAAATACAACTTGTATTCATAATTTGTTCATAGTATCCCAATTGGCATACACATCTATGCCTTTTTAAATAAAACAAGATTTTTCCATTTCTATCCTACTAAAATCCTATAATTCTTGTATCCATATGAACAACACCCTGGGAAGGCCTATTCTAAACCCTTTGTACACAGTGTCTTGCTACTGCTCATGTATAGACAGCAGTTTGCAGAGTGGTGATTGGACGCACTGTCCAATGTAGAAGCAATTGGATTATGCACAGTCAATGGCACCAGTCTTATCAGCTTGGAGAAGAACAAATCCTCTTCACAATACAAGACATAAGGTTTTATCACCACTGTCCAGCCTGTATGGGAAAACAGAACTGCTCAACTATAGGGACACAACTAGGGGCCTGAGGTGCGCAGGTTAAAGATGTCATTTTATACAAGGCCAGTAGACATATATCTTCATTCAGATGGGGGGCTAATTAGGGTCAAATATTATATGAAAGTTATTAATCATAATCTTATGCCAATCTGTCTTCATGCATTGAGCCGTGTCACACTCTGTTATCAGCAAATCAATTAAACTGTCCCTCAAAACAAATGTGTCCGTCACTCCATCACCGCTCCAGACTGTCCCCAAAGGAAACAATTAGTAGTAATAGTCAGCAGGGAATCATAAAACAGACCTAATTGTGACTGATGTGTGACTGAGTGACTGTGTTCATGTGATGGTGAAACAAAGGGAAAAAATCAATTATGATAGACAATAAAGTTGAAATTAAAGCTGCAATATATAACTTTTGTGGTGTGGGGTCTACCAGCTTGTCTCCATGGAAATGTTATTTTTGTATTTTACCCATAATTAAATAAATGCAAAAGTTTCCATTCTGTGGAGCATTCCAGGTTAATGAATAACATCTCCATGGAGACAGCAAATAGCAAACCCTCCATCAGAAAAGTTACATAAAACATCTTTTCAATATCTTTTAATTGTGTTTGTGCTGTCACTTCAGAGGAGAGGAGAGGTTTGCTTTAGACACACCATATATTACTACCTATCAAAACAAACCCAATCTGAGGGTGCTGCACATAACACTAAACATTATTTTTGTAGTATTTTATGGAGTGCAATACAAAATGTCACCTGGAACGCTATGGTTATTTCCTCCAGTGGGACCTCTATATTTTCCACGTCTGAGTGATTTGTGGAAATGTTGAGTTTGATTTGGGAGAAGAGCTGCAGAATAAACAGCCTGAGGGTACAAATATGTAGTACTGTGTGCCAGAGATAGTATTTTTTGTGTACTTTTGAGTAGTGTAGCCGGAGCAGAGGTGTTTAATATGCTGCTTTCAGACCCAAAAGGTGATGTATGCACTAGCTGTTACAACACTGTTTGAATAATACATTTTAACATTTATTTACACTAATCATAACTATTGGCATTTTATCTGCTCTGTATTCTGTACTGGGTCAACACAAGCCTCCTGCTAACCCTGCTAACAATTTAGTTCAAAATATTTACTTTGCTTTAATATAAATTACTGTTACTGTTTTGATAAATGTACAAGACAAACGATAGCATCTAATCTCTAAGGTGTGGGGATACAAAGTAAATAATGGTCTAATAATTTGAATCTCTGTGTCAAAATGATTTACAGAAAATGTTTTCACATTATGGTTCCGCTTGCTTCAAATGTTATCATTTTATCTATTCCCCTCTACAATCTGCTACAACACCTGAGGAGTTATGTTGGGCCTGAAGATTTTGCAAATACAAAATACTGCAATTAGTGTCAATAAAAAAAGTAATAATTTGCTCAGTGGTGAATAAAGGTGTCATTCACACATGTTTGAGTAATCTTTTATTATTTATTTTGTCTAGGCTCAAAATCCTTAGTTCCACCGCGGTAGTTTTCAAGTTTCGGCCATTTTTTATCTTTAGTTCTGTAGATTCCAGGAGTAAATTCCAAGAGTGAAGTTATCCAAATGATTTTAGTGAAGATATATGGAGTTAAAAAACACACTGGAACACTTCCTGTATTACCACATGACAAAGTGGAATAGTATATTTTTTGTTTGAGATAAAAATTCAGCCTAAATATGGATTTTTGTGTTAAACAACATGTGTGAATTAAACAAAAAATAACTCCAGTTATGTTTTTGATGAGGAAACAACATTATAATCGATCAGAAAATAGAGTAATATGGGCCCTTTAAGGACTGTAGAGCAACAGTCCAAGCAGCGACAATACCTTTTGTGTTACTGTTACTGTGTGGGGGTTGATCGATATGGTATGAAATGTATGTTTGCTTGACTCCGAGGAAGAATAGTCCCTACCAAGGTAAAGGAAAAAATAAACATTCCTTGGGTTTCAGTGTGATGAAGAATAAAATGACTGTCATAGCAATAATCCATCAAAATAATATTACATCTTTTGAATGGTCAAATATTACATCTATAAACAAGCAGGTAAAATGATCGGTGCCTGTTTTAAACAATATATACAACTGAATATGTTTCATTTGCATCTGACATATTCAGCTATCAACTATTTCAACAGTTATTTGATTTATTCATGAACTCCCCGCTGAGATATTGTTTATTGTTTTTCAGCAGGTACATCTCCTGAGGATATAGAACGAGAGAATTCCCCTTGGAACAATCTGTGTCACTGCTATTTCTGCTGCATCTTCAATAGCTGTCTCTCTGGTCTAATTACAGCAGCGCATCTGAGAGAAACTTTATCAATACACGAATCTGTCACTTTATCAGCCAATCGCTCACAGCTAATGCAGCGTGCGTCGACACATGGGTATTCCCTGTTTAATCAATGGAAGATGATTGGCACTTACAATGTTTGCCTTGGGATTAGAATGGAAGGAAAGATGTACAAGGCTGTGCCAAGAGCTGTTGTACAGTTTGAACCGAGCTGGAGGTAGACCAACATGATTATTACTGCAACAACTTATCGTTCAATATATAAAAGCTTGAACAATATTTCTGGGGCAAGTATTTGGGAACATTGTATTTGTACTGCTAGGAAATTTGGGGTTATTTTTTGGCTATACCATAGGATTTAAGCCATAAAAGCGTGAACTAATTGCTTCTGTGACTCATTACAGATGCAAACTCTACCAAAGTGTTTCATTCTGCTGTTTATTTATTGCTCAAGGTTTTTTAACAACATTGCATATTTAGAATTGTTTTTGTGGTTTGAATCTGCTCTTGGGTTAGTGCATCAATGGCATAAATTTATAGTCTATATTTACTTCAGCAATATATCAAACTTCAAAATTTGACACCATAACCGGTCTAGCTGGAGATATTGCAGGATTTTTGGGTTATCTTTTGGAGTGATAAGTAAATTAGTGGGACAGAGGACATTGTTGTGGAGATTATGACTCTGAAGCGTATTTATACATAAAGATTTGAACTGTAACGATGTGAAATATGTTTATGGCTTTGTAAATATGTAATGGCGGGTGCATTCCAATATATTGTTTATATAGGAGCAAATAAAGCCCCCTAAGCAGTGAGGGACTAGTGTTTTATGTATTTAATAAAACTACACAACGCATGCTGTGGTGGTATATCATGAAGAGGGGTATCTCAGGAGTACAAATGTCATAATAATTCAAAATGTCCAGAACCCTCTGATAGTGGGTTTATTAGACAATAATTTTAGCTGTTGCTTTATTTTACAATTCTTAAAGGAACATTATGCAACTTTTCTGGTAGGGGTACCTCACCTGCTTATGTCAGTGAAGACAATGCTGTGCCTTGAGTGCTCCACAATGTATGTTATTGCCTAGTATCAAATTAAAGGTGTTTTTTATTGCCCCCAGCAATTTTTATTTTAATTTTTTTTATCTTTCACATTTACAATTAAATGCAACTTGTATGTGATCTCCAGTGTGAACTTTAAACACCCCAAAAGTGTCCCACATGCTCACTGGAGGAACATGATGACGTCACACACAGCGAGTGTACTCAGTGTATACAGAAGTCACCTAAACATTGATGCAAGCATTGAGCTCCTGGCCATTTTAAAGTTGTTGTCGTACCGGAGCCAGAACATCTTGTTTGTTAACATCTTATTTGTTTTAAGGAGGAAATTGAGAAGGAGAAGGACAAAGTTTTTGGCCATGGTGTTTTGTGGGACAGCAGCAGCAACATTCATAGAAAGGAACGTGTGGATGAGGAGTCGCAGCCAAGAGTGGTGGGATTGCGATGTGTTTCACTGCTTCACTCACGAGAAGTTCATACACAATTTTCGTCTGACGAGAAGAACATTTGTGTACATTTGTGAGCGCCTACTTGTACCACTCTTGTGGGAGGAAACACTTCTTCGGCGGCTTATTTCAGTGAGCAAACGTGTCGGCATTGGTCTGTATTGGCTTGCAAGAGGTGCTTGTTACTGTGTTGTTATGGCGTGTAGGTGGGATGAATGCGACCTGGCTGTTCAGACTGAAGTCACATGTCAAAAGATTGGATATGTATCAGTTTAAGGACCACATATCCAAGTGGCCTGGTTCGCATTTGAAAAAATCATCATTAAAAGATCAGATATAGGTTGCATAGGGGTGAAAAAATCAGATTTGGGTCACTTCAGGCTGCAGTCTGAATGTAGCCTTAGAGCTCTACTACTTGATACAAATGTTACAAATATTATTCTATAATATGTCTATAACTACAACCCACTGTAGTATATGTACTGTCTAAGTCCCCTTGGGATTGATCAATAAAATATAAAAAGCTGTCAGTTATACCTTTTAGTTTCAACTCACAATTCTAACAAGCTAAAGTTTTTATAATCACATATAATAATATATAAATAATAATAAAGTAATATCTTACCTCTCTCCACTGTTTGCACTCGACGCCTTGAGTGTAGAGCACCACCACTGAGACAAACAAGAGGACACAGTGTCTCAATCAAGAGCTTATCCATTGCCATCACCCTGTTTGTTTGTCTGTGCAGTGATTAATTACCCTTCAGTCCTCAAAAACATCTCACATAGACTCTGTGTCGTGGTCTGATTATGCAGGGCACATTCACACAAAACGTTGAATCTGAAAGCACCTAGAGGACATTCTAAACACACAGTTTCTTAACGGCAGGATGGAGCGCATTCCTATTTGATTTACGGCTTTAAATGAAGCCAAGGAAAACAAATGCAATATGACCTGTCGATATCTGTGCTGCGTGAGTGGGAATACAGAATAGGTCTTATGTGGAGAAGCCTGATTCAGGAAAAGTTGTGGCAATTTGAGAAGCACGGATCTTGTAAATACAAATTTTTTGGCAGTAACAGAACATGGAACAAACTGTACAATATTAAATCAAAATTGATTTTAAGATGAAGTTAAGATTTTTATTTTAATAGAAGCAAAACATTCTAACAAGTCTGGTAAAAACAAGGGCTATACTTCTTTGGTTGTTTAGTCAAGTTGATCGCTCAACTTAACTATTTTATTGAATAGTAGAAGAGATCGATATGGACCACAGGGGATAGGAAAGTGGAGTGAGTTAGCTGGAGTTTTGGGAGTGACTAGACAATTTAATCTGCCTTTCTGATACTGTTTACTAGTACTTCTCTGTGTAGTTGCTTTTGCACAAGAACATTACCATATTGAGTTGATTTATTGATGCACTGGGCATGTTTTTTAGAATATTAGGAATTTTTCAACTACAGTCCAACTATCCAGTGTGTCACATACCTATAAAACAAATGTTTAATAAGCTTGGTGAAATAGCCACTTTTCAGCATCTTCTATGGTATATATAAGTGTACACTACATCCTAAATAAATGAAGGCAGTTCTTTTCGATATTAGTTTTTCCAATATGCTGCTGCGACTGTTTCTCTGCCACAAGTGCTGTTTGAGCTGCTGCTACTTCACTTAAACATTTCAATTCAAAGTCGGGCACTTCTAACCCAAACGCATTAAGGAACTCTCTACAGCACCGAGTGAATAAAGGTTGTCACATCAGTGTGCAAATGATATGCAATAATAGAGAGAAGTCAGAGAACACTTTGAAACTTCACAGTAAACCAAATCAGAGCTGGAAGTGGGTGAAAACACTCAACAAACTCAAAATGTGAAATGGAATGAGCACAGAGGAACTTACATGGGTCTGATTTGGAGAAAGTGTCTCGGTCCAACAAATTCCTGCAAAAGAAAAAGTAATTAACGTACAACATATCTATAAACAGGCATTGTATAATTGATTTTTCAAAACAATTTGATTTAATTCTCCCAACAGTCTAGAACAGGGGTCTCCAACCTGTAGCTCCGAAGCTGCTAGTAGCTCTCCACGCCCTTCCAAGTACTTCGCCAAGGGATTTCTGAATTCTAGTAATAAGTAAAATTAATAAGTAAAATTTTGTTAATTACCATTGTAGATGTATAATTTTGATGCCTAATTTGGTGCACCAATAAATGGACAATGTTTTATGTTTTATAGGCATTTAAATGTTCCCCATCTAAGGCTTGCTGTAGCTTTTATATTTACTCAGTTTCCTTGAGACTGCTGAAATTGGTAGCACGCTGGTATTTTTGTTTCGTAAAGGTAACTCACTGGAGAAAAAAGGTTGGAGACCTCTGGTCTAGAAACTAATTCATTACAAATCAAACATTGCTGAAGTTAAGTACTTCATCAAAACTGCAGTAAAAGTTGCTTGAGTTCCATTCTTCTGATTGATGCTTTTACTTTGAAAGGACTGTCATTTCTTCTCAATCAGATTACAATTGTGGAGAGCCTGAGTGTTGTTCAAATATAGAGCTCATTTATCTTCATTTATTTTTAATATAAAATGTGATTTGCCTCTAGAACGGATCATGCCCTTGGCCTTGAGAAGCACCAAATCAGATTGAGAAAAGAAAAATCTTATTCAGATAACTCAATAAGGCAGGTATAAATAGATTATTAATCCTTTTTTTAAATCCTATTTTTAATTTATTGTTAAGTCAGTCAAGTTTTCAGCCTTATACACAATGTTGGTTTCTCTCAGATTCTATACATTAGCAAGGCATAAAATGACCCTGACAGTCAGGTAACCTTCAAATCTCTTCATCAGATACAAGCATGAGGATATCATCCAGTTTGACTGTGGTTTTATACTGTGATACTAGATGATGACTGGATCATAACTTTGCTCCCATCAACCTCACCACTTCTCCAGAGTTTACCTGCTCCTCAGCCTTCATCACCTCACTCCAAATACTCCTCCCCCCTGCTCACCATACCTCCTCTTGTCCAATCAGAGCCCAGTTTGCCCACTTTCTCTCCAGCACCCCCTTGAGTTCTCATTCTCTCATTGGGGACAACATCTACTAAACATAATTTAAACAGCAAAGCCCTTCATCGCAATGTCTTCTGCTGTGATCTGAGTGCCAAAGACAACTCATTCAATAAATAAAACTACTAATACTTTCTCTTCAGGTTGAAATAATTTTATATTGATTAGAATAGATTAAATATGTCCCAAAAGCAATTCACGATAACTTTATACATATACATGATACTTATTGACAAAATGGTTTCAAATTTACCCAATAGCTTTCTGATTGCTCAGTGACGTTAAATCATTGTTGTGTATTGGTTTAAATACAGAATTGATTGTATTTTATGATCATTGGGTGTCACATGACCTGAGTTATCGATAAGCCACTCAAAGGGTTGCTGTATTCTACCCATGGGACGCCCCCTCAGCTGCTGAGGGTCACCGAGGGCCAAATGTGGTTTAATATTGACAGTTCATCTCAATGATTTTAACCAATAGAAACCTAATCTTCAAAAATCTTGTAAAATGTCTCTATAAAGCTGCAGTGATCACCTTCTCATGCTCTGATTGGCTTATTGAATTAGACCAGACGAGAACAATCAACTTTAATACCACTCTTTCACAGTCTTGGATTGTGAAGAGACACTTGAACAGGGCTGATATGTCTCACCAACTACTGTACATTACATCTCATAAAGCAGATGCTACCTTTACGACTTTGGAAATTGCCATAAATCGATCCGAGATGCAATCAAACCTGCGCCAGTAACAAATTTAACACCAATCACTCGTTCCGGATGAGGGAGACACTTCCAGATGGTGGCGATGATCTTATTAGCATATCGACGAACAGAGGAAGACTATAAACATGTCTCATTTGGGGCTGAACAGTGTAAATAAATAACTGGCAAAGCAGTTTAGAACAATCCTCATGGCTTCGAGCGACTGCTGGATTTCAATGAATATAGATGAGACGGTGAAATGGGAGACAGGAAGCCGAGGCATCATTCATGTACATGCATTTATGGATGTTAAATCTTCAGGAGGCAGAGGAGCAGAATAGAGAGTTTTGTGGGGGATTAGCCCAGGGTTGACCTGACCAGAGCTGGAACAGAGTCGCTATAATTTTCATTAGCGATAACAAAACAGTGTGTGCTAACTGCCTCTTTGTGTTGTAACCTGTAACTCTCCGACAGCCATTAGCCCCAAACAATTAGCCTGTCTGTCTTCCTCAGAGTGGAGCTGAGCACTGCTTCACGGACCAAACAAAAGCGAAATAACACTCCGAGCACAAGGCAATGGCGCTTCAGGGCAAATCCAAATTGCTATGTGTTCTTCGGCCATTAAATGTAATAATGATGTGCAGAGAATAGGACAGCAACACTTATAATAATTACATCTAAACACGCCCTTAATAAAACATGAACAAAAATTAATTAAATCATAACAAACACATCATTTATTGAAAGTGTTCAGACTTAGTAACTACATGATTAAAATATTCATCAGCACACGTGGTAATTAAGTAAATTTGTATTAATTAAATTAAGTAATTACTAAGACTTTATCTTTCTTGTAATAAACCATTTCTTCACTGAATGAAGTTCAGCAAAGTGTTCATGTTTATTAAGGCTAATTAAGGTGTAGTTATTATAAAGTGTTACCAGAAAAGCTCTCAAAAAGACTTAACTAACAGATAATAACATTGCATTGCAGTATTAGTAAATCATTCTCTCATGGCTTACTAATCATTAATAAATGTTCAAATTTGTACTTAAATATGCATTTACAAATACACACACTAATGGTTAGTTTATGAGTAAGTAAGTATGAAATAATTATGAGTGATTATTTACAGCACAGGATAATTAAGTGCAAGTTAAGTGGTAATTAAGGTAGTAATCAAGTAGTTATTAAGCCTGAATGATTCTTAATTAAGTATTTGTTCATTATTAATTTAGTCTTTGTTCATGCTTTATTAAGGCTAAATAAGGTGTAGTTATTATTAAGTAATTGTACTGTTGTAATACGGTGAGGTCTTGGCTCTAGTTATTAATAAAACTCATCAGGTTCACCATTTGTGAATTACCTTTTGGGTATTTCATGGCAAAGTACAATATAAGCAATAAAGAAAACTATCTCTTGGCACCATCTGAGAATAAGACATCATCACATTCTAGGATCTGAAAACCATTAATAATGCACCTCAAAACAAACCTGGAGTTGTGTTTTGTTTCATTCACACGTGTTTGAGTAATCCTTTATTATTAGTCTGTCTACATCTCCAAAGCTCCAAATGCTCTGTTCCACCTTGTGAGTTAACAGCTCCTTTTACCTTTAGTTTTGCAGAGATTGGCAATTCCAGGTCTTAAATCATCCAAATGATTCTAGTGAAGGTGTGTTGAGTTTTAAAGCAGTCTTCCTGTATTACCACATGACATCACAAGGTGAAACAGAGTGTTTTCTGTTTGAAAGAAGAGCAGGATTTGTGTGTTAAACATGAGTGAATGAATCAAAACACAACTCCAGGCATGTTTGTGAGGAGGAAACAACATTATAACATAGATCAGAAAATAGAGTGATATAGGCCTTTTTAACTCTTCATTTGTCATCTTATCATTTAACATTACAGGTGGCTATAAACCTATTTTTGCACTGGAGACAAATGCTGTTCAGGAACAACTTACTTCTCCATTGATGCGTTCAAAAGAATAGAGAAAGATTGGACTGCAATTTCACAAACGGCAGCAGCGATCGGCAGAGTTACGGTTCAGAAAGTGTGTTGCAATAAACTTCCAAGAGGTACCACGCAGTCATTCTAATCTAAGGGACAAAAGGAGGGAGAAGAGAAAATTCAGTAAGAAGAAAACCAGTGGAGGGAGATTGACACAAGGACCAAGATTGCAATCCTCCTTTTTTTGTTGTGGTTGTTTTTGTGGCTTGTATTTAATAGCACTTACACTGTAAAAATGTATTGTAAATTCATTCAACTATTATGAGTAAAGTAAACCTATCCATGGGTTTCAGAGTGATGAGAATTTACCACTGTGTTGTTATACCAATTAACACTTACAGTTCCCTACAAACAAGAAGCTAAAACCTTTCAGATAATGATATCTTGATCTAGTGCACCACAAACTATTGTTAATTACTTGTATTTTTCATGTACTTCTCAATGTTTACTTAACTTGATAAAGATTATGAATATTGCTGCACTGATGTGGTCCTCGGGAACTTAGGATTCTGAGATGAGATGTGCTTTTATGTTGGAAAGTCAGGATAGTGATGTCACCATCAATAAAATCCCCAAGTCCACTCATCAACAATGTTTAAAAGTAGGCTAAACAGTAGGCTAATTAGTAGGTTAACAGTTGTTGTTGCCAGTAGCGTTGTAAAGGTTTTTTGTTTACTTTTGCAAGTTAATGTTAAATTGGTAATTAATCAAACAGTTATAGTCTTTCAGGTCTTTCTTGTACTGATTTGTTGCTTTAATGATATGGATAACTGATAGTAACCCCTAAATGTAATACGTTTTTTGTCAAATGTGTAAGATAAACAGACAATTCGGCTTATTTTGGTTCATTTCCTCAGAGCGGTGACGTCAAGTGTGGAACTCCAGCAGACAGTTTTGGCCCAAATTCACAAGTTTGTTTTTCTGACTTGAGCTGCATTCATTTTCCCAAGTTTCCGAGGACCACGTGAATGCAATAAATTACCATGCACTGTTTCTAAAAATATGGGTAATAGTTTTAAACTGTATGAATAAACTGATATCTACGGCAAATGTAAATGCATATTTTCCCTGTAAATTAGTGAGGGAGATGCCGCAGGAGGGGTATTAGCAGCTCCATAATCCTTCTGAATAATGCTGCTGCCTGTTTCAAA